AAAGTGGACTCACTGTCTTTCTCACAGCCTCCACGGCTCGGTGGAGCCCACTGTTATCTGGCTGCGTGACTCCGCTTACCTCCTTGCTGGGCTCCCTGCTTCCCGCTTACCTCCAGGACAGTCCATGCCCCATAGGCAGCCCACAGATCCTATCAGAACCTCAGTCAGCTCCTGTCCGTCCTCTGTCCAGAACGCGCCTTTGCTCCCCCTAACCCTAAGTAAAAGCCAAAGTCGTTACAAGCTCAGCTGTGTCTGACTCTTTGCTACCTTATGGACTGTATCGCGCCAGGCTCCATGGGATTTTCCCGGCAATATTTGGAGTGGGTTGCCATCTCCTTCTCCAGGGGATCTTTCTAGCCCAGGGACTGAACCTGTATCTCCTGCATCTCCTGCGTTGGAGACGAGTTCTTGACCACTGAACCATCAGGGAAGCTAAAGCCTTGTGAGATACGGCCCCCACTATTCCTACAAGATAATTTCCTGCTATTTACATGAGCCAGACATGCACTTACCTCAGGGCCTTTGTGTGTGCTGTGTTCTTGCAGATGTCTGCACGGCCCCCTCCCTCACTGCATTCTGGTTTTGCTCATCTGTCACCTCAGTGAGGCCTCCCCTGACCATTCTAAAATCTTAATAACTGCAACGGCTTCCCCAGGGGCTCAGCAGGTAAAGAATATGAATGCAGGAGACACGGGAGACACGGGTTTGATCCTTGGGTCAGAAAGATCCCCTGGAGAAGGAAATGGCAACCCATTCCTGCCAGGAAAACTCCATGGACAGAGGGGCCTGGCGGGCTACAGTCATGGGGTCACAAACATGATGGAGCACACGGCACAGTTATCTGACCATTCTCAAGTTAAAGTAAAATCCCCCAACACTCCCCATCCCCCGCCTCTGCTGCATTCTTCCCCAGGGAACTTTCCAGAAGGTAACACACTGTATACTTAACTCGTTTACCTTATTTACTGTTTATCTTCCCCAAAAGGAATATCCCTGTTCATGGGAACAGGGATCACTTCTGTCTTGTTCGTGAATATGTCTCTAGGGCATGAGACACGGTAGGTTCCAAAAAGTATCTGATGAATGACTAAAGGAAAGTACCTTTCGTCTGCTTGTTGGACATTTTTGTTTCTTTCAGTGGTGGTTTGCTCATGCCCTGTGAGCATCTATTAGTATCCACAGTGCCCATAAGCTAAGTACTCACTAGGTCCTCCATGAAAGATTCATTTAAATCATTCTTGGATTTCCAGAACTGACTCATTGGAAAAACCCTGACGTTGGGAAAGATTGAAGACAGGAGGAGAAGGGGACAACAGAGGATGAGATGGCTGGCTGGCGTCACCGGCTCGATGGACATGAGTTTGAGTAAACTCTGGGAGTTGGCGATGGACAGGGAGGCCAGGCGTGCTGCAGTCCTTGGGGTCAGAGTCGAAAACGACTGAACAACTGAACTGAACTGACTGCATTTCCAGAGCTGGCCACGTGGTGGCAGCATGTGCTCAGACAAGTTTCACTAGCAGCCCCGAGGGTCTCCCACCAATTCCAAAATTTCGGATCCCAGGACATTGGACCTGGAAACTCTCCGGGATCTAATCTAGGCAGGTGGGAAAGTGAGGTCCGGCAGAGGAGGCATGGTGAGGGAAAACGTTGGACACAGGAATCTGGGGCAATCTGGCTTTTGCTCTTGTACCGGTTCACTGTGATTCCGGGGGCAGTCCTAACCAGCCCTGGGCCTGCAGGCCTGCCTGCTTTGGCAGGTTTCCAGGACATGCGTGGTCGGGCACTTTGCGGGGCTCAGGGGAGGTCCTTCACTCTCATGTGCCAAGGTGGGCTGGCGTGACGGGGTGCTGTAGGCCCAGAACGCCCCGAGAGAGGGAATGGCGTTACCCCCGTTGACCGGATGAGGGACGCCAGAGTGCCAGGGCCTGCAGGGTAAGAGCAGGAACAGAAGGCCAGCCCCACAGCATCCCAGCTCCAAAGCCTCCAGAGACTGTCTCTCCAGACCCTCTCTGATGCTTCCCCCTTCAGCCTTATTTTTTGACCTGCTGGCTGACTGCTAAGCTCCGCTGAGAACACCTTGACCACTGTCTGTCAAAGAAGCAACAATGGACACCTTTGGTTTCCTCCTCCTGGAAACGGGGCTAAAGAAAAGTGGCAGAGGCAAGGAGAGGGAATTCTGAAAGCAGTTTGGGGGCAGAGGAGGGCATGGACCGGGGCAGGAAAGGGCCTGTTCTTCCCCAGTCGACCTCCGGGTTCGGGCCCACCATTCACAGCCACGCAGGCCCAGCTCACAGCTTCCAGTTTTAAAAGTGAAGCTAGAATTTTGAATTTTGATGTGACATATCTTGATTTTGTTAAATGTTGGCAACACAGTCATTAAAAAACAAGACAGAGAAAAAAATCCGAAGCAAATCACTGTGGGGGTCAAGCCGAACCCGTCTCTGGGTTGGATCTGGGTGCTGGCTGCCGCCTTGAGACCCTTCCCCGCCCCGGGTTCCTAGGAACACCTACGCCACCGGTGACTGGGACAGGTCGCCGTGGGAGGTGACAGGTGGGTCCTGGTTTCTGGGGCCTCGTCGCCTGCAGGGCCACTGGGGCGTGCTCCAGGGCTCTGGGCCATAGTGGTTCGGTCGCCTCACCCCCCTCCTCGGGGAAAGGCTGAGCGCTAGTGGCGGGGCAGCAGGCAGGGCCTGTTGAGCAACCAGCCTTGTGAAAACAAGGGCTTACGTCACCCGTGCAGGCAGCTTCCCTGCAGGACACCTGCGGTGGCGCTGGGGTGGGAACCGTCACTGATTTCAGCGTCGGGGGCGGCAGGGTGGGAAGCCAGAGGCTCAGTTTGGCAGGTGAGGGCAAGACCCCGATGGGACAGGATCTGTCCTTGGGGGCTGGTCCCCAGGGCCTGGGCGGCCCCTTGACTCACGGTGTAACCCCCAACTGCCCTTCTCTGAGCCTCAGTTTTTCCACTCGGAAAATGGGGCTCACATCAGACCTGCTATGGTTTATTACAAACCCAAAGGGGAAGGCTGGGCCGGGAAGACGTTCATCCCGCTTCTGGGGATGACCTTGAACAGATAGCCTGAGGAAACTGTGAGGCCTCAGTTTCCTCATCTGTAAAGTGGGGATGATAATAGGACCTGCTTCTTACCAATGATCAGGAGGATTAAATGAGTTAATATATGCAAAGGGCTTACAATATGGTTCAGGGAGGGTGAAAGACTGACCTGAGATCACACACAAATCCTTCAGTTAGCTGCAGACTCCCCGCGTCTCACTGCATCTCCCTAGAATCCTGAGTGGCGGGGGCGGGTGCTGAGTCTCAGAGAGATCAGAGTCCGGTTAATAGGGTGTGGGGGGACCTCCCCATCCTCTCCTCTACCTTCATTTATTGAGCCCCTCCTGTTCTAGGTACTGGGGGAACAGCAGTGAACAAAACACACAGAAACCCCTCCCGGAAGTCAGGGAGGGCTCTCAGAGGAGACCTGAGGGGCCACCTGCCTTGGGCAGAGCTGGCGAAACCATGTTCTTGATCCAGAGGTAACAGCAAATGCATTCTGTTCCCCGGTAAATGGTGAGCATGCCTGACACGCCAATTCCCATATTTGAGGGCCAGCGCTCATGGAGCCGGGTACTCTGGGGGAGGGGGCGCTGAGGCAGACAAGACAGCGAGGATCACAGTGGCTGGAGGTGAGGGCTAGGAAGGAAGTTCACCGGCAGGTGGGGCTGGAGGGCCTCTCGGGGGCAGTGGACCTTCAGCTCAGCCCCGAGTGTCCCATTTTGCAGCTCAGGAGGTCTGGCTGGGTGGCCCCAGGACCTTAGGTCCCTCCCTGGCCCAGAGGCTGCTGGGAAAGCCCAGAAAGCCAGCAGGCTGGGCCAGTGTTTCACCCTGTCCCTCCCTGCCCCCTACCCCCCAAGGGCACTCAGAGATGTCATTTCTCCAGTTCTCCGGGGCGGAGGTCACCCCAGCTCAGCAGATAACGCTGAAGGTTGAGCAATGCCCGCCTGCCCGCCAGGGCCAGGGCTGGGGTCAGTGGGTCGGGGGTCAGCACCAGGCAGGCTGGGAGCTCCTGCCTGGGGTGTCCGGGGGCTGGGAGTGGCAGAGGGGTAGGCCCAAGGGGCTGCCGAAATGACCTTGGAATGGTGCAGGGGAGGGCCGGGGCGGCTGGCACCCCCTCGACAGGGAGGGCCTGAGGCCTGCGTTCCCATCCTAGTGGGCCATCTCATCTCCCTTTCTGTGAACCAGGGGCCGCGAGGGCACTCTCCTGGCAGGGTGAAAAAGCAAATTCTGGGTCCAGGCCCCTCTCACCGCACAGCAGGGATCTGATGAAAGAGGAGAACTCCCTCTCTCTTCTGCACGGCCCCTCCTGGGCCCTGGCTGGACCACCACCCCGTCAGCCTCAGATACAGGTTTTTTTGGGGGGTGCCAAATAGCCCTGAGGGTGCCCGGATAAGGGCTTTTCTGTTGAGAACAGTGGGGAACATGAAGCCGTGTGATCTTGGGTGTGCTGTGGGCCTCTGGGCCTCTTTGTACCCTGGGAGGAGGCCCTTATTTCTGATGTGCATCCCAGAGCGGTGAGCGTTTGGGAGTCTGCGTTGGAGACAGTTAAGACAACTAATAAAGATAACAGTAAGGACACCCTCGCAGACTGAAACTTGGAGAAGCCAAGTGACTAGCCCAAGGTCACACAGCATGTGGTGGGGGGCACCCCACCCCCGTTTCAGCCTCCCTGGAGGGGGCCCCGGGTCAGGGCGGCTGCGGCTGGAGAAGACCCAGGTGTGGTCCGAGGGGGCGGGCCCGGGGGAGGGGCGCTCGCCCCCTCGCTTGCACCTCCCCAAGCCACCAACCCTAGGTTTTCCTATTTCAGAAGGGGAGTCACCGCAGGTGTGACAGTCCCTCCAGTCCAAATCCGGGGAGGCGTGCCAGTTTAGGGGGCTCTCAGGAGAGAGAGGCTGTGGAGGCGGCTCAACCCTCCGGGAGTCCGAGTTGGGGGAGCGCCGCCGGCGCCCTCCCGGGGGTCTCGGGCGGCCGCGGCGTGTCCTCTGCGTGCCCGGGGAGGGAGGGGCCGCCGCCGGGCGTGACGCAGCCGTTGCTATGGCCCGCCTTTATAAATAAACGGGCTCGGGAGAAACTTTAGCGAGTCAGAGCCGCGCACGGGACCGGGAAGGGGACCCACCCGAGGGTCCGGCCGGCAGCCCCCCACACTGATAGCGGCCACCCCGGAGCAGCGGCGGCGGCAGCAGCAGCAGCATCAGCGGCGACACAGCAGCGACCGTTCGGAGTCGGGAGGCCGCGCCACCTGCGGGCCGGCCGGCGCGGGCAGCCCCAGGCCCCCTCCCCGGGCACCCGCGTTCATGCAACGCCTGGTGGCCTGGGACCCAGCATGTCTCCCCCTGCCGCCGCCGCCGCCCGCCTTTAAATCCATGGAAGTGGCCAACTTCTACTACGAGGCGGACTGCTTGGCTGCTGCGTACGGCGGCAAGGCGGCCCCCGCGGCGCCCCCGGCGGCCAGACCCGGGCCGCGCCCCCCCGCCGGCGAGCTGGGTAGCATCGGTGAGCACGAGCGCGCCATAGACTTCAGCCCCTACCTGGAGCCGCTGGGCGCGCCGCAGGCCCCGGCACCCACCACGGCCACGGACACCTTCGAGGCGGCTCCGCCCGCGCCCGCCCCCGCGCCCGCCTCCTCCGGGCAGCACCACGACTTCCTCTCCGACCTCTTCTCCGACGACTACGGGGGCAAGAACTGCAAGAAGGCGGCTGACTACGGCTACCTGAGCCTGGGCCGCCTGGGGGCTGCCAAGGGCGCGCTGCACCCGGGCTGCTTCGCGCCCCTACACCCGCCGCCCCCGCCGCCGCCGCCGCCGCCGCCGGCCGAGCTCAAGGCGGAGCCGGGCTTCGAGCCCGCGGACTGCAAGCGGAAGGAGGAGGCCGGAGCGCCGGGCGGCGGCGCCGCGGGCATGGCGGCCGGCTTCCCGTACGCGCTGCGCGCCTACCTCGGCTACCAGGCGGTGCCGAGCGGCAGCAGCGGGAGCCTGTCCACGTCCTCGTCGTCCAGCCCGCCCGGCACGCCGAGCCCCGCCGACGCCAAGGCGCCCCCGGCCGCCGCCGCCTGCTACGCGGGGGCGGCGCCGGCGCCCTCGCAGGTCAAGAGCAAGGCCAAGAAGACGGTGGACAAGCACAGCGACGAGTACAAGATCCGGCGGGAGCGCAACAACATCGCGGTGCGCAAGAGCCGCGACAAGGCCAAGATGCGTAACCTGGAGACGCAGCACAAGGTCCTGGAGCTCACGGCGGAGAACGAGCGGCTCCAGAAGAAAGTGGAGCAGCTGTCGCGCGAGCTCAGCACGCTGCGGAACTTGTTCAAGCAGCTGCCCGAGCCCCTGCTCGCCGCCTCCGGCCGCTGCTAGCGCGGCCCCCGCGCGGCCGGGCGCGCCGCGTCCGCCGAGACTCCGGGGAGC